ATGTCTTTCCATCATCCCAATACTAACTGTACATTTCTTTCATTATTTTTATATTCTTTCTTTTTCGCTCTTATTCCCATTATCCCTTTCTTCTTTATTCGTTTCTTTCTTCCTTTATTCCCCCTTCTCTTATCTTACAATTTTTGTCATCATGTAAGGTTATTTGTGTTCATAACTAGGTTCCATTCTTGGGTCCCCCTCCATCACAAATGCAMATAATGAGGGAAGGTAAACACATCCAAATGGTTCTGGAATCGTTGAACATATGTCAATATGCACATGATTTGCACCAAGGAACAGGTATTTGGAAAATCACTAACTTATGGTTGTTGTTGTCGTTGTTGCCGCTGCTGTTGTTTGTGCAGTGGCAGTTATTTATGTAAGYGATTTCTCACTGCTGTAAACTGAATCTACTGTTGTTGCTACTCTTTTTGTGACGAAAGGCCTTATGGGGGCTCTTGTCACTATGTCATCGGGTTTGAGTGAAAGAGTTGTAACCATTCCACTTGAAGCAGGCGTTCCTAGCGATTATTCAAACACGTGATCGTTGTCAAGGAGATTTCGCTGTCTAAGAGAACGAAGGCCACGAATTGGATCGGATTAATTTCGGATTATGACTTGAATTCTAGTCTACGAGCAAAAAACGATTGTTTATTGTTAGTGTTGTTGTTTTTTTTCTTGCTGCTGTGGCTTTTTTTACCGATGCTGCTTCTACTGTTTCCATTTGCTTCTGCTGATTGTGATTTTATTAAACTGTCGATGATGTGTATTTACAATCCAACTCTGAGAGATCGTGAAGACACTGAACATTATCTGAGACAGTCAATACTCTAGCCCKTTTGGTATATTCTAGGATGTTAATGAATTACAGATTCACATCAATACAACTCTATCTTGAACAGGAAACCAAGAAGAATTGTGCAAGAAGATTGTGGAAATGGTACAGTTTATTCAAAGTACTATTAAAGGTAGCTGGAATCTAGTTTTCTCATTTTTGCTTGATAAGTTGCAAAGCTTGTGTGAGTTGTTTTCATTTGAATGTAAAGGATTAGTCCAAGACTAATAGCTGGTATAACTGTCTGAATCTAGAATTGTTTTCKTTYGTTTTTACATRCAAATATTAASTAAATAGACATTTTCRTTTCACGGTCWAATAAAAATTACTCTCAGTAAAAASCATTGATTTTCATGAGTTTTCCATCCGTACAGCTGTCAATGATGTATATTTTACAATCCAACTCTGAGACTGTTGGTGAGGACATTTCTTTATCTGAGACAGCTAGTGAAACTAGGATACATACCATTGTCGTGCGCTACATAATTGTTGTAGTAGTTGTTTTTAGTTCAGTTACTTCAAAYAAATGTGTAACATATGGCCTAATGTAGTGAGCTAAATGTATCTTAATAGGCATTGTGCAGCRAMGCCATTTTKTGCAGCAAAGCATGAYGGTAMTTGTAATCCTTGTACTTTTTCATGTCCGCTAAACAATTCTTAAGTTTCCAAAAAATATAGCTTAAAAGGGTTTTCAAGGATGAATTTTAGGTTGTATATAAGTGTGAGGACTACAACGACAACATTTATTTGAAGTAGAATACAGGCCTTAAAATCTATTTATAATTGACGATGATTATATTTCGTGATCTATTAGATAATACAGAGAGTTGTCTTTCACAACTAACAGCAAAGAATGGTGAGACGAGAATGTTCAACGGTCGTGTTCTGGAACCGTTGGTTCATCTCATTGAGGTTTGTCTGAATTACATTAGAAATTAGATAAATAGAAATGCTAATTGATGTGGTTGTTTGTCTTTAGACCCTAAGTCACTTAATTCTACTAGCATCTGTGTCRTGCGCATTGCTACACAAAATAACCACTACAAAGAAAGCAAAGAAGGCTACAAGCTCACATATGGTAAGACAAACTTATGAAATAACTATTTGACAATATCTCTTTATTAAAATGCAGTTGTTGACAAGAGTTTTACAGCTATTTCAAAATATAGAATGGAGAATGCACGGCCGAAAGTTATTATGGGTAATGCATTGATTGCAGTATGCGRCATTCCATGAAACCTAATTGGCGATGATCGTTTTTTGATTTTCCCGTGTTTCTAAGCAGATCAGTAAATATTATTCATCAAAAATGAAATTCCCACATTAGGTTTCGGTCTTGGAATCTCCATTCTGCTTTCTCCGCTAGCAGAGTCTGTCTTGTTGTAGTTCCCGAAGAGCAATCGATTTTCTCTGTTGTTGTACTTTCCGACGAGTAAACGATTACTCGTCAGAATCTACAACAAGAGAGACGAAAGAGAGACGCTGCCAGCGGCGAACTAAATGTATGACATCCTTCTTTGCAATAGCAAATTGCCCCATGACTTACTGCATGGCTTCCTTACGKCCCGAAGCTGTTCAGCTTGCATAAAAACTAACCCTTCTATTTTGGCTTTCCTTTAATAATGCTTAGAATTTTTTCTGTTTGTACGAAGGTGGAATTAAAAAACTCCTACAAAAGTTTTATTGAAGCACTCAAATCATCGACGACTGAAATTCACAATTCTCTGAGCGAGGTCCAAGTTACTGAATTATCATCAGAACTCTTGGAAATGAGTTTGATAGAAATGGACAGAGAGGTATTTATTGCGAAGAAARGTTTCCTTTGCGGTTCCCTTCGCCATCTTGACATTTGACCATGCTTTTGCATCAAAATTAAACGAACGGTGAGCTTGCAGTGACAGAAACTTGTATATATACAAAGCCAGCGATACAAAGCCAGCGTCGTCAGTTTAGGAGAATCCTCTTTTTCAGCCAATATGGCGGCGATGACGTCACGTGAATATGTCATGTGAAAAAGGTTTCTATCACTGATATCAATTGCTAGCGCACTTGTCGCCTCGTTTCGATACAAGTGCGTGGTTTGCTGCTTTCAAGACGGGAACTGTCAGGGAAGCTATTAGTAGAAGATTGCATAAATTTATTGGGTTGTTATTAATTTCATTTACTATCTTTCAGACTCAGTCGTCAGTGACAGCTGAAATCTGGGAAAAGCTTCAAACCAGTTACACGAATTCAATTAAGCAAATCATRGAACTTTTAACTCGAAAATTAACCTTCGTCAAGACACTGCACCTTTGACAATGGTCTTGTCGAATTCAAATACAAGCAATAATTCTAGAAGACACACACATGTTGTAAAATACAGAAATGGGAATAATCACTAAAGCAGTGAACAACGATTTGTATTAAAAAAGTTATACTGTTGCCTGAGGGATTGAAACGTATTGAATCGGAATTTACTGATTAGAAGCACAACTGCGTAGAGTGAAATCATTAAACCTATTGAAAAGTGATAGTCAAATACACACAAAAGAAAACAAAGAAACCAGTTTGAAGCCCAAGCGTAATCACAGATTTCTCCACCGTTAGCAAGAGAAACACTCGCTACGCTCGTGTTTTTTAGCTTGCTTCTCTCGTGTCTTTTAACTCCCACCGTGTTTATATCAGAGGACAGAGACGCGAGCAATTTTATATTTCTAGATAAAGTACGCAAAATTATCATTTTAGAAAAAAGCTTAAAAATGCGAAAACAGTGATAATGCATAGTTAACTTCTAATGAGCATGTGTATTGTGGCACAATTGA